AGGATAAACTATGTGCCTTTTGATAAACATACGTCTTGAAATGTAACTTATCGCTTGCTTTCCAAATATTATAAAGTGTTTCATGTATGTCCCACAATTAATATATAAATCTTCGATGTATAGAATTATATCGTATATATATTAAAGCTTGCCAGAATGTATCGCATGTATATTTCAAAACCGCTACCCTACGCTAGATTCCACCACGGATTCCAGTCGCTTGTCACTTTTTACTTGGATATAAATATATATAAATAGTATCGGGTTACCGAATATTGTCATTGATATCTTCGTAGTTTTTAATAGTAACAATTCGTAGTACTAATTTGGTGTTGTACATGTATAGTACTGTGTTTTTAAAATGACATTGAAATTGTCCTGTCTGCACTTGTCCTATATCAATATCCTGTCAAGATGTTTGTCTTGTATATTTGTTTGTTTTATTGTGCAATAAAATACAGATTTTGTCTGACATCTGTTAACAGTCAACCTTGGTGCTATTGGTCAGGATATTCAATATGTGTAAATGTTGAAATGTGTAGATTTAACCTTGTGTTTTACCCTGAATAAAAAGCTTTTGAACATATTATCAAGGAAGTACTTGAAACAGCATGATGTAAATTACATTGCATTCCAATATGTTGATGTCATAGCTAGTTAATGTCTCTATAATTCCTGTTTGTCCAAATGACTTAATTAAGGAGGGTGAAGAATGCCATCATAAATTTATAGAAAAAATATAGTATTTGACAACAGGGAGAGATCGATTGTTTGCGTTGACTAACTTGGACACCATAAATAAGGACCAAAAGGCAAATAATTTTGCTAATTGACATAATTATGGGTGATAAGACTCCTTTGTCTGTATTGCTGAAACCCAGTCAGCTGAGAAGTGACGATCTCTGCTTACTATTCCACATTGCTGGAAAATATCTGGCAGTGCCAGCAGCACCACTGCCAGTAAAAGTTCAGGAAAATATCTTTGCAGGAAATTTTTGTCAGATCTTATATGCTGGAATGCCATATAATTTACTCATCTTTTACAAAAGTGTTTTGCAAGTTGATTTGCGACATCATATGTTCTCTGAAATGTACATATGCAGGACGTTTTATATAAATATAAAAGTAGTCAAATTTGACTTAGACAGGAAAGTTTTATTTTTGGATTTTGCTGCAAGAAAGAGAAATATATTTTCTAGGCCTGTAGAAATTCAAATATTATTATATAATTTATTTGTGTCATTAATGAATTTTTACCGTAAATATATATTTATTTAAACTAAATTAATTAAATCCAGTTGCTATATATAAATTAACCCATTGAATACCAGCACTCTCCCCTTGATGAGTAAAATTGTCTGCTGTTAGACAGAGTAAAATACTAAAGTAGGGTGTATTGAGGCACAGTGCAGATTAATGGATATTCTGAATCCAGCATTCTCCCCTTGATCAGCAACATTATCTGGCCAGTGTCAAAACTAGCCAAAGCAACAGTTTGACAGGTCGTGCTATACAAATTTTTAATGATTTGCATTATTCCAACCCTTAGAAATGTATTGTCTTTAACCTGTTCAGATGCAGGTTTATTACAGTAGCAATCATAGTATGACCAGTTGTCATGGCTAGCTTTGCTACTGCATCTGCTATTAAACAGTGCAAAATAACAAAGTACCTAGGAGTAATTCCATGCCATTTCAACAAAAAAAAAACTGATTTGACACCCACCCTCTCCAAATTTCTTTATATTTTGCAGGCAGTTAACATTGTGTGGGAATAGTTTAAGTTCAAAATTTGAGCATCGTAGCTGCAATAGTTTTTGAGATATCACAATTCCGAAATATGGCCCGAAAAGCAAAAAAGTGGGCGTGGCCAGTGCTAAATTCACCATTACCCTATTTTACATTTTGACCTGTAACTTCATACCTGTACATGGTATATCCATCAAAATTTGCACAAAGATGTATTTGTATGCGGAGATTTCAAATATTGCACTTTCATCTTTGTATCTGCAACCAGTAATGTGTTATGGCACAGCAAAAAGTCTAATTATGTGTTTCTGAAGACACGAAATATACGTCATCTTTATGGGAAAAATTTTTATGGAAGCCATACAGATACAACAGTAATTTTTATTCCACATCATATCCACATGCTATTCTACTTTTAAGCAAAATTTGGTGATGGTTAGTTGCCTGCTTTAAAAAGTAGAGCCCTTTAAAGTTGTCGTATTTTCTAAATAACTTTAATAGTAGGTTTTGGGTGTTTGTTAAGAATAAAATACATTCATTGAGAAATGAGACTGCCAAATACTTTAATGTTTCATTCGATCCTTCTTTATTGATAGTGCATATTTAAAATTTGTTTTAAAAGTTTAAAAATTACATATTTATTAATAGTACATACACAAAAAGAATATGAATGGATCAAAAGTATGCAATACAATTTATTTCTTACTGTATCTACCCCTGCTCGTGAACCAATTGTACTTTCAGTGAACTCTTTTATTGTATGTTTGTAAGATGATGAAAAATGGCTTGATTTGATTGAAGAAGTTGACAATGATCAAAGAAATGCAAAAATTAATAAGGTTTATGCACCCAAAGTGCATCGCAAGATCATATTTCTGGCCAGTAAAAGAGGATACTTGTTAGCGATTGACCGATAATTGCGTCGTGTACTCGTGTCAGCCATACGTTTCAACGGAAACTCTTAAACGTCTTTATCAAGCTTTAGTCCAACCACACTTTGATTACTGCTCGATGATTTGGGGTAACTGTGGCGAATCTTTAAGAGGCAATCCTCAGAAACTCCAAAACTGAGCTGCAAAAGTTATTACAGATGACTCATATGAAATACGCTCCATAGATATTTTAAAGAAACTAGACTGGAAAACGTTAGGTGAAAGAATGATGGAGCAACAACTAAAATATGTATCAAAAGCACTTACATGCCATTTTCACGAAAACATTTCGGACATGTTTAAACTATATAATTCAGATCGATATGAATTAAAAAATAACAAAAATAAGTTGATGTTGTTGAAGCCAAAAACAAATTCAATGAAACGAACTTTCGGTTATGCTGCCGCTAAAGTTTGGAATGAAAGAAATAAAATTTTTATATAATTTTATCTGGGTGGGGTTGGAGTGAATAATAAACTTTGAATGTCTTTCTAATATTATTCGGGTGGTTCGGGGAGGGTGGGTGCATGGGAATCTCTTATACTGTCTGTAAGTACACGGCCTAGTGAAAAGTAACGACAACCTTGCTAATATTTTTTTAGTTGATTAGCTACCGTGTTACAAGATGTTTTAATAAGAATAAATAAAAAATTATAATCGGAATTGGACAGATTTTTGCTTATCGGTAGACAATCGGAATCGGTAGAATAATTTGTATTTTCCGATTGTGTAAAACCGATTGTTGAGAAAATACGCACTTTAAAAATCATATATATTGCGCGGTGATACACGTTGAATGCACTTTTTTATGTGAAAATAACAACTGTTTAATCTCTTGCGCGAACGGTAGCGTGTTGCTTAGTAGGTGTGGAGCAAACCGTTAAATGATACGTGAAGCGTGTCATTTATGTACAGGTTTAACGAACTTTGGTTGCTACTAGTAACATGTTACGTTGGAAATTATCATTAAAATCTCGAAATGGATTATGACGTCATAGAAAATCAGAATCGGGTATATTATTGGATGAATAATTGATAATTATTGGTCAATCACTAATACTTGTTGGGTTTCGGATGAGAACATTGTTTCTGACATTGGTGTTCCGAACAATAGTCACTGGGAGGCAGTACAAACTGCAGCTTAAAGACCAAGAAGTCTTATGCACTTGTATATATATACTGCATCGATTTTGATCAAAGGCAATTTGATACAAGAAATAACACTTACTCTTGGAGAACATAATGTACTATTAAAAAAGAATGATAGAATCAAACATTAAAGTATTTGGCAGTCTCATTTCTCAATGAATGTATTTTATTCTTAACAAACACCCAAAACCTACTATTAAAGTTATTTAGAAAATACGACAACTTTAAAGGGCTCTACTTTTTAAAGCAGGCAACTAACCATCACCAAATTTTGCTTAAAAGTAGAATAGCATGTGGATATGATGTGGAATAAAAATTACTGTTGTGTCTGTATGGCTTCCATAAAAATTTTTCCCATAAAGATGACGTATATTTCGTGTCTTCAGAAACACATAATTAGACTTTTTGCTGTGCCATAACACATTACTGGTTGCAGATACAAAGATGAAAGTGCAATATTTGAAATCTCCGCATACAAATACATCTTTGTGCAAATTTTGATGGATATACCATGTACGGCTATGAAGTTACAGGTCAAAATGTAAAATAGGGTAATGGTGAATTTAGCACTGGCCACGCCCACTTTTTTGCTTTTCGGGCCATATTTCAAATTGCGATATCTCAAAAACTATTGCAGCTACGATGCGCAAATTTTGAACTTAAACTATTCCCACACAATGTTAACTGCCTGCAAAATATAAAGAAATTTGGAGAGGGTGGGTGTCATGCCTGTGTTGAAATGGCATGGAATTACTCCTAGGGCACATTAGGGCACAACTTCAAACATTCAAACAAATTAAATTTTGCACTCAATGAAGTTTAGTAATGGTTCTTCTCCAGTGGTAGACACTAGGAGGGGGCAGGGGTGTGGCCTCTCCCCCAATAATTTTGAAAAAATTATAAAAGTCTGGTAGCAAATGTCACAATTCACAAGCATTGTTTCGGAGCAAGTGGCAAGCATGCAATCACACCCATATAATATAATTGATTAGTACATTAAATTGATTAGTACATTGATGAAAATAATTGAATGAATTTATTGTACAGGATGAGATGAATCTGTCGGAGAACCTTCGGGGGCCGATCAGAAACCGAGAGAAAGCAATTAAAATGGATATGTTGGTTCAGTTTATGTCAAGGCGAAGTGTAAGTTTGTAAATGTTTTATAAGATGAAAATGTACAATATGGTATCTTAGCATAGAAATCGCTGGCCTGTTTCACTGTACCTATAAAATGTGTGCATAATGGACATATTTCGGGTTCTAAAATTTAAAATATTTCAGTACCACACTAGGATACCAGGATTCAATGTTCTAATATCCCATTCCTGAATCATCAACGTAAATATATAGTACAATGTCTCCCGTTGTAATTTTTCATTAAAAGAGCAACAGGAAAACTAGACCACCAAGTTGGAAATCAAAGGCTGGTTATTTTCAAGAAGGCAGACAGAGACATTTAGCATTATGCCAATGTTTGAAATTTTGTAATATCCAGTCAGGTTACAAGTCATTCACAGTTTTGTATCCAAAACCAAATTTTAGTATCGTGTGGATATATAGAGGATATTACACGGCAGAGCGAAGATATGACTTTTATTTTTTTTTTAATTATTTTTTTAAATTATAACAAATTTTATTTGGATCGATATACAATTTTGAACAAAGAAAATAATATAACAGAACAAATATAATACATTAACTTAAAATAACCTAGATATCAAATGTAGATCCAAAAAGGTAAGGTACGAACGGAACTCAAGATTTAAAAGGTCCCATGCAGGGCACCCACCTCCAAAATAGTAATCATGATAACTAATAAAACATAGCGAACTCAAACTCAAAATTAAACTGAATAGTTAAACTCGAAATTCAAAACAGTCACCGCTTCAGAGAGTTTGAGTAAGCATGGCTCTATTTCCTGAAACTGAACATGTCAAGTAAACTAATAGACAGATTGAACATGCATGTAAAAGTAAAGGCCAGCTTCCACCCAGGAAAATCCCCCGCAGAACAGAAACGGCGGGAGAGCTTTCTTCGTGTTAAATTCATGACGTCACGTCATTCATGTTGATTAAATTCATTTAGTTCCAAACCAGAGGTTCCAAACGAAATCTTGCAAAACAAACTGAAAACTTTCCTGTCCACCCTGATCCTGAAGACCCTCCAAATGGAGACTAGCTTTTACATGATAGACAGAAACATATTACAGACAGAGACAGACAAATATACAAACACGACAGACTGACTTAACTATTTCCTGTGGCAAGGACAGTCCCGTACCAGTGACCACGTACAAGATAACTCAACATCATAGACTGACTTTACAAGTTCGGTATATTTACGTTTAAGATAGTTTTTAAAGGAGATCGGACTGGAGAATGTATCTACACGTTCTAGTGCGTCTATGTTCAATGAATGAAACATAACTGGCCATTTTAAGGTCGATGTGGCCATACAGCGTCTTGTAGAAGAACACGAGATCTTTGATTTCTCTGTCGTATGTGAGAGGCAATAGTTTCAATGTCATTAATCGTTGTTTGTAAGGTATTTCACCAGTCTTTATTCTAATCTTAAGATCTATTTTGTCGCTCTCCTTTGAACTCTTTCAATTCTTCTGTTGAGTTGACTGTGATGATTTGAAGACCAAACTTGTGTTGCATAGGAGACTTGTGATTTAACTAGTGGCAGGTACAATGAACGTCTGATGTTGACGTTTGTTAATGATAAGCATGTTCGTTTTAGCACACCAAGTTGTTTATTAGCTTTCGACACGATCTCATTTTCTTTCTTGTTTTCAACTCTCGACAAATCATTTCGTCCGAGATGGTAGGGATAGATTATTGGATCTTTCTTACGTGTCACCGACAGTACCTTACATTTTGAAGCGTTAAATGTTATGTTGTCTTGAGTCCAAATATCTAACTTATCTAAGGTCTGCTGAAGCTTTTCACAGTCCGTTACCGATCTTACGTCCTTGTAAACCTTCGTGTCGTCTGCAAACAGCGCTGGAGATGTTCCATCAGTCACTTCAGGAATATCGTTGATAAAGATTACAAAGAGCACAGGTCCCAGGATACTCCCTTGCGGCACTCCAGATGTAACGGGGGCCCAACGTGATGCGACACCGTCCACAACGACTCTCTGACGACGATTGTTAAGGTAATCAGCAAACCAACCTAGAAGGTTTCCAGTCACTCCATAACATTTGAGTTTTTGAAGAAGAATAGAATGGTCAACAGAATCAAACGCTTTCGCGAAGTCAAGGTAAACAATATCAGTCTGTGTATTCTTGTCCAGATTTTTTCCAATGGTGTGGAATACTGATAGAAGTTGTGTTACGCAGGAGCGATTTCTTAGAAATCCGTGTTGATATGGAGTGATGAGATGTAAAATATGATAATAAAAGTTAGTGTAAACGCACCGTTCTAAAACTTTGCTCGCAATGGGGAGCAGGGAAATAGGACGATAATTTTCTGCGAGTTATTTTTGTTGTTTCTTGTGTATCGGAGTAACGTTTGCTGATTTCCACTCTGAAGGGAGTCGACCAGATTGCAGTGAGTGGTTGAAGATATCGCATAGACTTGGCGCTATTTGTCCAGCGCATTCCTTTAGAAGCCGGGATGGTATACCATCGGGACCGCTTGCCTTCGATGTATCCAAACTTTTCAAACAATCGGTAACTTCGTCTACACTGATTACTATGTCCGAAAGTTGCAGTTCAGTTCTTAATGGAGGTGAACGGGTGACAGCCTCTAGGTTGGTACTTGATCGAGGAGATGTAAACACAGAGGAGAAGTACGTATTGAAAAGTTCTGCTTTATGGGCTGCGGTCTTTGCCGTTTCGCCGTTAAAAACTATTTCAGGTCGATTGTTCACCCGATGACGGCGCACTGACTTGTGGTATCTCCAAAACAGCTTTGGATTTTCAGCAAATGAATCTTTAACTTTTTCAAGATAATCACGATGTTTTTGTCTGACTAGGTATTTGACAGATTGAGATAGAGTTCGCAGTTTTTGTTTTCTAGCATTTGTTCGTGACTGTCGAAATCTTTTTAACGCAGCATACTTCTTCCGCAACAAATGTCTTACCTCTCCGTCGATCCAGGGTGGCGAGTTTGTGTCTGTCACAACTTTCATAGGAATAGAATTTTTCACATGCGTGAGAAACCATTCTTTCCAACAATTCCAATGATGGTCAATATTTTCTGATGGCATATCTTCGAAAGTTGTATTAGTCAAAGCATTCCGTAGCTGTTCGAAATTTCCACGCTCGTAATCAAAGATTGTCCGTTTAAGGTGGCTCCATACACTTTTCATCATCAGGAGACTGGTACCTAATTTTGAGTTTTCGCGCGAAAATATTAAAATATATGCAAAAATAAATACAACTCTTTCATTCAGTCTAAAATCCGAACCACAAGTCATGTTTATTTTGATGTTTTGAGTCTTCCTTGTTCGCATTTGTTTTCAAAAAACAAACTTCGTCCTGATTTAGCCCCAGACATTGAATAACTAGTCTTTTTAGAAGACATTTTAAAGTGAAAAATGCAATGTTCAACGTTCAAACTCTTGTGAAAACCGGCGATCGGCCCAATCGGCAAAAAGTCTTTTACTCCAATATTTGGCGATTTATAAGTTCATATCTAGAGTTTTTTGTACTTACAACCGGTAAATGTATTCAAAGTGTTACTAACAGCAAAGGAATTCACGGAAACAGCAGCATGCGCCGGCTCAAACTGTTTTAAATCGTCAAAAACAACATGAAAACACACAAGTTACGACTGAAAACGAATATAGAACTATGTAGAAAAGCCAAAAAGTTCATACGTGTCACACATATCTTATACCAAACGACACAATCACCTGTTTTCTTGACGTTATCCCGAGTTAGCATGCAAAACTAAATATATTTGCATTTCTAAGCAAGAAAACACAACATATATTTGATATTTCGACGAGACTAAAAACTTTTTTGTGCGAGTTTTTCTGGAGATGCGCCTGCGAAAACATGTACGCGCGCATGTCAATTCATTGATCTTGCAGAGCTCGAAAAACTTTTGGCCGAGCGAGTGAGATACCACAATAAAACGGCGTAATTCAAAATTTTGCACGGTGACATGTGATGAAATTTTGCACAACGATAACTTCTTTGAAAACAAATAGAATATCAAAATTTTAAAAAAATCTGTAGATTGGAAAACTCTAAATCCGCAATTTTTTATTCTGGCTATTCTAATCTACAGAATTTTTTTATTTTCAGGGATAAGATTCCGCATTAAAATTGAAAGCTATACAGCAGTTAAAAATGGGGTGTCACCGGCAATATTCAGAAAATAAATAATAAAAACCAGCTTAAAATAGCAAAAAATACCATATTTGGCGAGACTACTGTTACCATGGAAACAATATTATGTTCAAGAATATTGCAAATTTTTTATACTAAATACTTAATTTATACTCGAGAATGCTTAAAATTAATAGATGAAGTGATAAAATTTATAAATTTAAATTTTTACGCAATAAGGTATTTATA